CGCGTTCGGTGTCGTTCTGGAAGGTGTTTATGTGGAAGGCCTGGTAGGTTCGAACTTGTACCAGGTGTCCTTTGAGTTGTCCTGGGGTCCCGTCGAAGGTGGAAGGCGTGTTGAGCTTAAGGCGTTCTCGTCCTTCGACTGGGGCGGATATGACGTTGGCGGCAGCTCGGAGGGTGGCGACTTCTTTCTCCAGATCCTGGTTTTTGCGGGCTTGTTCCTGGAGTTCGCTAAGGGCCGCGGCGTTCTGGTTGAACATTTCGCGCATTGCCTTGAAGTCGCTATTGGTCTTGTTGAGCTGGCGCTTGAGTTCTTCGGTGTCGTCCTCGCTGTCTGAGTCGTCCTTCATCTTCTGGTCTCCTAGTTCCTGGGCTAGGTTTTGGGTGGCTCGTCCTCCTGAAGTGGACGAGGATCCCGGAGTAGGCGACTTGACAGAGGCGCGGGAAGACATTGTCGTTCGTTACTGTTAGTAGGAATCAATGGTCAACTTACTGAACAGGAGCAATCAAAGTGTTACGGTCAGCTATCCGACAGTAGGGTCTGCTAACAGAAGCTGGGGATTGATACGTTCTAACAGTACACTGGGTCGTGGTCGTAGGTCGTAGTTCGTAGGCTGTAGTAGATCGGGTCTTCAGAGGCTAAGGTGATCAGTCTTAGACTCAATAAGTGATTCGCAGTGAAGGTAAGCTGAGAGTATCCGTGAGGATGAATACTAAGTTGATTGCTGAAGAGCTATGGAAGTCTGACCATGAGCCAGGCTCAGGGTCATACTATATACAAGTTCTGAACAGTACCCTTTACTCTATCACTGATCCCTCATCAGGTACCAGTGAGCGCTCATTGACTGTTGGTGAGCGCTCAGTAACTCCGACTGAGCGCTCAGTGACCCACACTGCCTGCTCAGTCTTATCTTATCATCACGTGACTTGTATCATAGTTCTTCCGTCTCCGAGTGAGTCCCTGTTGTTCCCGTGATTCTGCAGTACAAATGTCCTGTCCTAGCCGCTCGACGCCCGAGTGGGTCGTTCAGCTGTTATCCTTGTTTACGGGTCGTAACATGTGGTTCCTTCCCTTTTTTGAAGGGGTATTTCGTGGTTGAAACTGGTGTGTTCGGGCAGTCTGGTTTCTAATTCGGCCGCAAAGAGTTTCTCATAAACTTTATATTCTTCTGGGATAGACAGAAGTGGATCGTTCTTCTGTTTGAGATCTATTATTATCAGTGGTTATAATACGGCTTCTTTAGCCTTGAGGTAACAGAGGTATCGTTTTGCTGTTCCTTATCATACTGATTCGTTTGAGGCCTGATTCTGACAGGGCTGCTCAGGGACTGAATCATCATGGTCCTAATAGAGTTAGCCTTTGCTCTAATCTATCTGTGGGTTGCTTGTTTGTAGCCAGGGTAGTCCTAGCACTATGTCGTATATTCCTAGATCGGCAATATCGAATTGGATTCTTTCTTTTTGATTCAGGTAGCTTATCTCGAGGGGCGCAGTCTCATTATAGATGGTACCTCCTTCGTACTTGAATCCTTCTCCTTCTGCTGTGTATAACTGATATGGTCGTTCTTTTCCTCCCTATTATATTTCTAGCCTATTGATAGCTTGGGGGGCAATGAAGTTTGCTTCGGCTCCGCTGTCGATCAGCATAAGTGTTGTCTGCTGGTTGATAGTAACTTTGAGTTTGATATTACCCTTATATCCTTGTGATATTTAGTGAATAGATCTTATGTTTGTTGCCTGTTGTGATCTGTTGTCAGTAGGTGAGTCTAGTTTTTTGACTGCTCTGGTTGTCCTAGGTAGGTGATTTGCTTTCCCTCTCGTTATGCTTTTGCGAGGCTGTTTTTGCAGATCCTAACCTATGGGGGTCTAGGTCTGTTCTTTGCGATTCTCTAGGCTTATGCCTTTTCTTAGTAGTAAACTTAGCATTCGTCTTATTAGCATTTATCCTATTTTATGTTGTCGTTATGTTGATATCTTATAGGGAACTAAGGACTAGGTCTGAAGATTGCAAGGTTATCTTCAAACAGTACTATAGTCCATCTAATCATAATAGAGGTTGAGTAGATCTTATATATAGGTTTGTCGTTATGTCTTCTGGGGTAGAACTAGTAGTTATGCTTTTCTCCTATGTGTTCTTTATATTTATCGTGAAAGCACTAGGGCCAGAAGAGGGTTTAGTGAAGCTGGTGGTTGCTTCTCAGCGCGGGGTGATCTTCTGTGTGTAGCTGAGGGGTGTAGCCTCAGTCTCATTAGGCTGCTGAGGTGCTATAGAAGTGGCGTTATTGCTTGTCTTAAAGCATGTTGATTCCTTAGTATCTCAGAAGTTGCTTAGTTCTTCCTTCCTGGTCGTCAGGTTCTTCTTCAGAGCTGGAGTCGTCCACACTAGGGGTGAACCTATAGGTAATTTCTATTTAAGTGTGTTGTTAGGTAACGTTGCGAGGTTTATCTGAGTTATAGGAAGAGCTTTCTCCTTCTCTGAAAGTCTAGTTGTTAGTCATACTGAGGAGTTGTTGTTCTATTAGAGGATTATGTTGGTGTTCTGGTTCTTCTTCTGGTTCTTGTTGTTGATATAGTCATACTTATCTGTCGTCTTCTTGCTGGATTAGCTCTATTTCCTTCTTGATTTGTTGTTCTTCGTAGTGGAGTTGCTGGCTAGTTATGCGGGGGGTGATTAGTTCTAATCGCTGAATTCGTAGCATCTTGTTAAGTTGTTCAACTGGTTTTCTAGCCACTTTGCTGTTGCTGGAATGCATTATTGCCAGGTTCCTAGGGCAAGTGTCTGGGATGGTCATATTATAACCAGACCGTCCAGGGTTGCTATCCCTTAGGTAGTGTCCTGATATTTCTTTATCTTTGAGGTGAATTCAGCAGTTATCGTTATAGCATCTGGTCTACGATTAGGATGTATGTGGGGCTTTTGCAATTATGTTGACTTATTGAGGTTGTTCTGCCACTGGTCTCTAGGGGAGCTTCTTAGGCTGTCTGCAGTCTTTGGCGATATAGCCTTGCTTATTACAGTTATAGCACTTAGGGTTCTAAGGTTTTTTGTTGTTAGGTTTAGTCATTATGCTGAGATCTACAGGTCTGCTGTGTTATCTGTAGGTGGTGCTCTAGCAGGTGTTATTCCAGTTGTTACAGGGTCTGTTGTCGTTCTGCTGGCTGTTGAACTTCTGTTGAGGTTGCTATTAGTACTTACGTCCTAAATTCTGGTTTTGTTGTTTCTCTCCTCGTTCCTTTCGTCGTTTATAGAGGCGGTTGTCAACCTTAATAGTATGTTCGACATAGGCAAGGAAGCTAGGAGGTGTCTCTAGTTTGGCTATTTCGTCTTTGACATCATCCTTAAGTCCTTAGTAGAAGGCAAAAACTTTGCTTTCGTCAGTTATGTGGAGTCTTGCAGCTAATCGCCTAAACTCTGCGGCGTAGAGCGTAGCTGACTTAGTTTGTCGTAGGTGGGATAGGTCTTGCTCAGCCTGTCTTTGTTCATCAGGGTTAAGGAAGAGAGATTCTAGGGCCTTGATATAGCCTGTAAAGCTGAAGAAGATGTCCTTGACTTCTTAGCTGTATTTTTCGACAGGGTTGTTAAGCTATTCCTGTTGAAGGGGTTCGAACCAGGCAAGGGCTCATCCCTGAAGGAAGGTGGCTGCGTGTATAATGCGTTCAGTGTCGTTCTGGAAGGTGTTTATATGGAAGGCCTGGTAGGTTTAAACTTATACCAGGTGTCCTTTAAGTTGTCCTGGGGTCCTATCGAAAGTGGAAGGCGTGTTAAGCTTGAGGCGTTCTCATCCTTCGACTGGGGCGGATATAACGTTAGCGGCAGCTTAGAGGGTGGCGACTTCTTTCTCTAGATCCTGGTTCTTGCGGGCTTATTCCTGGAGTTCGCTAAGGGCTGCGGCGTTTTGGTTAAACATTTCGCGCATTACCTTGAAGTTGCTGTTAGTCTTATTAAGCTGGCGTTTAAGTTCTTCAGTGTCGTCCTCGCTGTCTAAGTCGTCCTTTATCTTCTGGTCTCCTAGTTCCTAGGCTAGGTTTTAGGTGGCTCATCCTCTAGAAGTAGATGAGGATCCCAGGGTAGGCGACTTAACAGAGGCGTGGGAAGATATTGTCGTTTGTTACTGTTAGTAGAAATCAATGGTCAACTTACTGAACAGGAGCAATTAAAGTGTTACGGTCAGCTATCTAACAGTAGGGTCTGCTAATAGAAGCTAGGAATTAATACGTTCTAACAGTACACTAGGTTGTGGTCGTAGGTTGTAGGTTGTAGGCTGTAGTAGATCGGTTCTTCAGAGGCTAAGGTGATCAGTCTTAGACTCAATAAGTGATTTGCAGTGAAGGTAAGCTGAGAGTATCTGTGAGGATGAATACTAAGTTGATTGCTAAAGAGCTATAGAAGTCTGACCATGAGCCAGGCTCAGGGTCATACTATATATAAGTCTAGGGTAGTTTCTTTAAACTGAGGACTGATGTCTTCCGAGCGGTCCCCAGGTGTGGACCGCTTTCTTTATGTCGGTCCTAGGTCAGGACCGCTTATCTCTCGTCGGTCCTTCTTATCGTCACATGACCTGTACCATAGTTCTTCCGTTCCGAGTGAGTCCCTGTTGTTCCTGTGATCCTGCAGTACAAATGTCTTATCCTAGCCGCCCGATGCCCAAGTGGGTCGGTCAACTGTTATCCATACATAACGGGTCGTAACACCTAGTATAGGTTAAAGCCGCTAGAAGGTTGACAGCAAGGCTAACTAGACCATCTAAGTTTAAGTGGGATGACTCTAATAATAGTTCTAGCGGCTGAGAAAGGGGGGAAGTGATATAACAGGCCAGGCCTGTCACATAGGGTGCTCTCAGCTAAGCTCAGCACTGGACTAAGACATCAAGATATACAGCAAAGTAGATAAAAGACGTGTAGATGCAGCTAGAAAGGAACAAGAAACCTTCCTTCCTCATCTGAGGATTCTCATTTGAGAAAGGAAGTACGAGTTGCAACATTGCTCCTACTAACCCTTTGCAGTCACCAGTGATAATATAGCAGGTTGATATAGACAAATACCCGGCAGCCGGTATTCGCATGCGATGCGACACTGTGTTTTGGATAATACAGACAAGAATCCATGTTGCTTCGCCATCTTTCCAGGGATTGCCGACACTTGGCCCATTTTGAATCTGGCATCCAGGGGCACTCTGCGGGCGCACACATCCCGGGCGCTTTCCGTCCATCATTGTACACGAATGTCATGACGTCTGCATAGATTGCGAACCCGTCAACCAGGACTTCGTAACACTCTTCTATACCCAGGGGTAAGCTTCGGTCGGTCATAGGCTCCTGCTTGCATCCGAATAGAAACCCGCTGGCGGGCGGGACCCGAGGGACTTGAAGCTTCAACATCTCGGCCATAGAAAGCATACTAGGATTGTACGTTCCTGAGTTGATTGTGCAGTCTAATATGAAGCAAGCCCAGTAGGTCGCAGTTTCAACGATTTGGGACAGCTCGTCGGGCTCCTCAACGTTGATGGTCTCATCGAGAGAAAACGGGGCTGTCCGAGTGCTATGCAGAGATTGGATGATTCTAATGCCGATACCTGGACTGGAGGTAAGCACTAAAAGCCTTCGTTAATATACTTCCATGTTGACGGCATACCGCAGTGCACCCATGCCTTTTGGAAATCTCTCATGTCCCATTCATATAGCGTCAGAATAAGGTGGGCTTGAACAACAACAACTTCCGGGGGCCCAAGCATGGCGTTTGAAAGGACGCTGCGAGAGAAGGAAGCATACTCCTCGCTTGGAAGTAGCTGGTTCATCCAAGTCCCATCGATGTAGCATTCTTCCTTCTTTATTGCTGCAAGCAAAGCTGCCAGCAGGGCTTTGCTATTAGCCTTGCGCTCCAATAGGAATAAGCGGGAAAACAGATCGGGATGTAGCATGTTCATCTCAGGAAAGTTTGTTCTAAAGATGTGCAAGGCTTTTATGATGATGCTCATAGGAAGCATCCCCAATTGGCCGTCTACATTATTGCTAGGCAATATTCCAAGCGTTGGGGCATTAGGGGCGCCCGGGGCTCCCAGGGCTTGAGTCTCCGTTAGCAGAACTCGGTTTTGATATGCAAAGAGCAACTCACCTGGTGTTGGAGAAGAAGCAGCTTCTACAACGCGAACACGGGCAGCAGCGCGCCTGATCGGCTTAACGCGAGGCCGCGAAAGCTGGCAATCTGGGTATCCAAACTTGTCGCACCGCTCGCATGGTGGACTGCCGCTGTGGATGCACCTCAGTTTCGATTTACTAAAGACATCACGTCAGAACTCGGAATAGAAAACATGAGAAATTTTGCTACCGGCAAGCTTCGCAGGAAACGCTGGTTCGCATTTCGGGAATGATTGGGGTGAGGCGTAATAGGGGTAAAGTTGAAAAGAGAACCTAATTGATTTGATACCCGAGCTCATTGCCGACCACAGACTCCAAACCCGATCTGACTAATCGGGAGTGGTGCAGAAACTCGATGCATGATTGGTTAATAAGCACAACTTTGCTTATCGCACACGGACCCACAAACCCGGCCGCACACAGAGGTCCCCGGACGGTTTACATCCAGTCGAGGCTATGAAAACAATTTGCTGGGCGCTCCACGTTGCTGCTGATAGCTTTCGTGCAGATTCAAGAATAGAAGCATAATACGAGCCAAGGGCGAGTCTGCGACTTCCGCGAAATTATATGTTGGTAACATGATCAATTCCGTATTGTTGCGTGGTGCTTGAGTATTGACAAAAGTCCAAGACGCCAATCAAGAACGATACCACCAGTGATTCATAGCCTTTGCAGCCCAAGAAATAGAAGGAGTCTGATTCACTGTCAGTTCCTTCCCGTCAATATTCCTTCCGAGTCCTTCATCAGGAACACTCTTCTTGAAATCTTCCTGAAACTGGGTCATGGCTGTAACACCTTTCCAGATGTCGTCAGCTGCCATACCCCGCTGCCCACTTTTGGCTACTGCCTGGGCAAGAAGGGCGATATTCTTAATGTCCCTACCGCTGACATCAAAGCTTGCCAAAGCTTTCAGCAATTTATCTGCTGCCCAGGCGGGTCGCTCTCCACCACAAGCTCGTGCAATCCACACATCCCACAGATGCTGTTTGGCCTCCTTGGTCAAAGGGCTATAAGACAACGCGAGATGAATCCGAGACATGAAGGCGCTATCAATGGTTCCAACGCGATTGGTCGTCAAGAAGAGAGTTCCCTCAAAATATTCAAGAATACGAAGAAGCACTGTATCAATTAGCAAAGCCGTCAGTAGATACCTACCCAAGAGCTTGAGTGACGTACTAGATACCAGTCCATTGCGCTCCAAGTCAGACAAGTTTCGAGCTTGCATGAAAACATCGGCCTCATCCAGTAGTAACAAGGCCTGCCATCGTTCGGCAAGGTGTAATAGGCGAGATAGTATGGATTCCACATATGGAGGAGGGCCAACGAACTGGCCCGAGTTGGCAGTAAGTAGGGGTCTACGAGCATGATCTGCCATCGCCTCTGTATTTTGTAGTCAGAATGTGTGGTTGAAGATAGATTCGAATAGCAACTTTACCTGCTGTGAACGTTTTCCCAACCCCAGGTGGGCCATGTAAGAGAATGATCACACCCTTTCCCTTTCCTTCGATAAAGTCATCACTGCTGAAACCTTCAAGATTGCGAGACAAAATTAGCGAGGAAATGAGTTGCTTCTTATCCTCTTCAAGGACTAAGTTCTGAAAAGCCTCTTCATTGAAGTTGACTGGGTGAACAAGCTCTACGTCGAAAAAGCCCCAACGCTTGGTGATTAAAGTATAGCCAGTCACCTCATGATGGCAAATAAGGAAGTCCGTATCTTCCAGTCTTATGTCGGAAGAAGTTGACCCCAAGATGTCTCCTGGAGTTTGAAAGTCTGGTTGGGGGCCTTTAGCATTCTGGTAAAACTCCTCAAAGTCAACCATAATTCTCTGCCGAACCTGACTTTGCTCAGCACATCACTTACGCCAACCTGAGCTTGCATCTACTCACCCTGGTTCGTATAAGCTCATCTTTGACCGTAGTAGGTCTATTGATCAATTGACTGAGCTTTGCTGTGCCATTGTATTGACAGTGGTGGATGTCTGCCAATGACATGTACTTCTTCCCCCGGCCTAAAAGCCGAGTTTTGATCTGCTGACTTTCTGAATGGAAGTGTAATGGAAAGATATCCAAAGTCGAAAATGCTGCGAAACCTTCGTACTTTTTCAAGATGATCTTATCATAGACATATCCTAGGTGAGTACCATTGCGTTGAACTCTCTTCACGCGCATCTCCCATCTTGAAATGCCCCGATACTCATCCTCGTCATCAAAAAGTTCACCTTCCTCGAATGTCAAGGATTCCAAAGTAGCGAGAGTATCTATCTCCCCAGACTTTTGATATAAGAGATCGCCTGGCTTGTACGCCATCCACAGGTATTTGAACTCCGAACCGGCCGAGGCCTGTCGTTTGGCGACTGTTGCGTCATATCTCTTGATTTCTTCGTGAAATCTGCGCTTAACATATTGCAGCAGCATGTGCAGGTGACGCTGCATTTCTTCGTCTCCAGATGACTCGGCGTATACTTCCAATTCTGCCCGGTAGTGAAAGAGGCATGAGGCATCGTCTTCGTGGATCCAGACGTTGTTGGCTGGATCAAAATCGATTCCTGGATACGACTTGATGACTTCTCTCAAGGCTTTCCTCAAATATGGCGATCTGACCTCTAATCTCGTCGAATAGAGCTCTTTGTCTTCAGAGTAAAAGCGTGTCAGGACGAGAGCTGCAGCGTGACTTCTGTCTTTCGGGGCCTCAAATTCATGCTTCACCCCAACTCTCAATACCACATTCTCGCCGCGAGTATCGTAGCGACTTTCGTAGACATGTAGTTCGCAGTCAGCTCCACTGCCATCATTGATTTCGACTGGATCAATGAAGTCAAGTCCGTCTGGTTCAGGTTCTTTTGTGCATGGAATGCCCTGGGCTTCGCCTTCTTTGTCGCTGATTGGGGGAGATTCCGTGGTCTTATCCCCTTCTTCTCCAATGTATTCATGGGGCTCACCCATGCCAGACGTTGTCGAATATTCGGTCGTCATGATCTTGCACCGGAACCACCAATCCGTAGCAAAATTGGTCGAAATATGCCTCGTATTGTATGAGCTGGTGCAAAGTAGAACATGAGAAACCACCAACTTATGCTCAACGCAATCCGGAGCAAGTCGGTATGCTTATAATGATTCGAATTAATGATGGAAAAAGAAGAAGCTAAGGCCTGGAGACTTCTTTTTGAAAGCCCCGTTGCTCAAATTCCAATACATTTTCCTACACCTGGGACACCTAATATCTTGGCCGCATAAAGCAGATGCAGGCATCTTACGATCTATAGGAATATCGTCACCAAGTCAAGCGGGAGAATGGAGAGAAAAGGCGATGTAAATTTGCGTGTTCGGATCTGATTGGCAAGGTCTAAATGATGATGTACATAAATCAATGAATGCCTAGTGGTTGCCTTACGCCTGCTGACCACCCTCCTCAAGCCTGTTTCTGAAAGTAAGGCGAGAGCTTTGGATCCTATAGACCAACCAGCTTTCCTTTCTTATTGGGTTCAACACCCTAGCCCAGCCGAGAAAATGACCCAGGTACTGCTTGCTGCACGCATATGCGGCCGCGAAAAGAGCCCTAGGCGCTCTTACGTTCAGTGGATGGGGCGCCTGTTTGGACAAAACATATTACCAAACCTGCACTTTGAAATTTAGTATGTGGGACTCACTGCCATGCACTGCAACACTGGGCGTGTTTGCAACAGTGACGAAGGTTACAATGCGGTCTCCATCCGATTTGAGCCTCGGGACCTCACTTATCATATGATAGGGTTGCTGCGAGACACTTTCCGACAGCCACCGACTCATGGCAGGTCCATAGGCCGCATGTCCGGCCAGTCCAGCATCCGTCCCTGCAGAGTGTTGAGTGGCTGGCCATGCGCGAAGAACTTGTATGTGACTTCCTGCAGGCCGCTTTTGTGAAGCATGTCGGCTCTTTGAGACCAAGTTAGTCTCTAAGTGCTTTTCAAGAAGAAGTCCGGTGTCTCTCATTAGTCCCCGCTAATAGGTGCAGCACTGCAGCTATGACTGGCACATGCAACTTAAGCACGTTGATTAGTGTATCAACCGCTGAGCCCACTTGGCTGCACATCAAGAGCCCTGGATCTTTGTAGAATATAGAACATATCTTACCTTCTGCGATTTGGAGTTTCCCATCGTTTGTATCGAGGGTGCGAATGTGGCAAGCTTGAGCCTCCTGAGCACGATGCTTGGCAGCCTGTCTGATGAGGGACTTCAGCTCTTAGTCGATGAAACCGAAGACACAAGAAAAGTTGATGAGTAGAACTATCTCTCGCTTCACCTCTGCGAGTGAAATCCGGGACCGTCCTTTATAGTAGCGAGTTCATCACCATCACGAAGAGCTTTTGTGTACTTTTCTTTTCGGCGTCAAAGTCATTTCCAAGAGCCGATAGCACCAGTCTGCCTAAGACCTTTTGAGAGCTTCTTGGGAACTTCTGAGGACTCTGGAATCAAGGGCCCTCACGATATGAAACTTGACCAACAACCTACGGCATTACTGGTCCCAATGTATGCCATTGCGAAAGGGACCTTTGGGAACCTTTTTTCCAATGGCTTAAGGGGGGCAAAAGCTGCAAATCAAGTTTGGATTCCACAGGTGCGGCATGCCGTCCGCACGCGCTGAGGCAGATGTGTTTTCCTTAGGTTCAGAGAAGACTACATGGTGTGCATCAAGCCACCCTGGAAGAGACAACGAACGCAGCGCCCTTGCACTGTAAGGGCACCTATCGAGAGAATCTTTTGGGCCCTTCTCTCAGGCCAACCAATTCTGGAATGACGACTATCTGGGTGGGACCTGCACGCGTCTACCACACCACACCTACCGGTCAGGTGTGAACGAGGCGGTCAGCAACGAAGGGTTTCGTGCGACACTACATGCGCTGCAAAATAACTCTACATGTACCCAACCAAGTTACCGCGTTAGGCTATGCACCATGGATGCAGGAGATCAGGCTCCCGCGAGGCAACCGGATTCCTTGAGAACTTTTTTGGATCGGCTCATGCCGCAAGTCCTCTCACACGACGAGACCACCCACCCCGGGGCTCGCCTCTTCTAGGTGTGCCTAGGCGACCAACTTCGAGCCACTTCGTGCAGAATTTCCACTTGCCAGCAGGCGCAGCGTGACGTACGTACGTGCATGACACCCCCTTTGTTAGACCTTTTGTGAACCTTTTTTTTTCCCCCTTTTGGGAACTTTTCGCAGCTCTCTTGGCGCGTCCTTGTATTAAATAGGCCACGGACGTCTCTGTTACGCTGGTACCCCAAGAGCAAGATGCAAACTGATTTCCCCAACACAACTTGCCTGTGCAACAGCTCCTTGCCAAAGTGCCGTCAAGTTGTCTGTTTTTCTTCTCTCAGTTTTCGCATTGCCGAGTCCCGCCGACATGGAGTCTCAGAACTACCCCTTCTCTGCCTATGCTTGGAATAGCACTCCGACAGGCCAGGACAACCAACATTTCCAATTCTTGTCATACACTCCCAATGAACCAAGCAACCATCAGGCAGTTGTGCACTTGGTTCCCGTCAGACCGCCCTCGGATGTCGCCATACCTCAACATCGAGTTGCGGAGTCCTCCATCGCCTCACACGCAGAGCTCGGCGAATCTAATACTAAGAGAAAGAGACGCAAATACGACAACTTGGACTGGGATGCCCACCAGCAAGAATTGAAAAAGCTCTATCTATTGCAGAACAAGACTCTGGAAGAGACGATGCATATCATGAAGGAGAGACATTCATTTGACGCCTCGTGAGCTCCTACACGTGCTCCTGCAAAGTTTAATATCTAACATACGCTCAAGGAAAAAGCTTTACAAGCTTCAATTCCGGACATGGAATTGGTCTAAAAATCTTCCCGCGACCCATTCACACTTCATGGTGAAGAAAGCAAGAGAAAGATGGGACAACGACAAGAAGGATACGGTTTTTATATACGGAGGGCAGCACTGGGACCCAGAGAAGGCGAAAAACAGCCTCATGCGAAATAAGAAAGCCGCAATACTCGGTAACCCGCAAGGTATATAGTATTCTGTTTCAATATTTTGTCCGATACAACTTTTCTACTAACACTAGATTAACAACAGACTTTCACACCCCGAAAGATGTGAGCTACAAGACGCCCAAGAATCACATACCATCACCGGCTGGAGTTTCCGTTCGAGAGAGCACAGCTGCTGAGTCAGATGACGATATGCCTGATGGAGACGGCGGGTATATGTTTTTAGACTATGTCCAAGGCGGTCCGCAGGATTCGGGCGCATCTTTTGATAATCCTGATTCGGATGAGGATCATGCGGATGAGTCGACTGATGACGATGATGAGGATGCTTTCTACCCAAGACAAAGGCAAGAGCTCATTGAACATGATGTTCCTACTATCAGAGCCGTAGGCCTTGCACGCTCTGGATATATCGAATTATGCGACATGGCGCGGAAGTGCAAGCAAAACGGCGAGGTGGAAGAGGCAGAAACATACTTTTTCAAAGCTATCCGGGGTCTTGATCAAGTCATGGGTCCAGCACACGACGACACGAAGAAGGTGAAGTATGAATGCGCCAGTCTTCTCGCCGAGACTGGACAGATGCAAAAGGCCGACACCATCATAGACGACCTTACACGCGAGCACGTTGATGCGTTCGGCAATGAAGATAGACTTACTCAGCAGCATGTTCTGCATGCGGTTGAGCTGCTGGAGACATGGAACAGACCGAAAGATGCGTTTGGTCTCCTTTCTCGGTCGAAGTACATCATGGACACTCGAGGGGTAACCGGAAGCATTAGACGACGAACAGCCACAAGTTGCGACGGAACTTTGTCCGAAGATGATTTTGAGATCAGAAGTATTGCTCAGGAGCTTGATGCGACAGACTGCATTGCTGTGGTGAACTATGGTTTGGGAGTCGCCAAGTCCCACGTACGAGCGGATGACGAAGGTTCCGAAGTTCTGTTGCAGGCTATCATTCGACACTGCAAACGCTACTCTCCAGACCGCATCGTACAACATCTCCAAGCTCTGGCAGAATTGCTGAATCTTTACCGGAGACTGGAGAGGGTTGATTTGCATGAACCGCTCTTTAGAGAGGCAGAAAAAGATTGCAAGACGTTATGGGACGACTATGTTTGGTGTGCGGAAAAGTTCCAGTGCATTGAGGTTATGGAGGCCGCCATGCAGTTGGCAGCCAACATATTGAAGTGCGGTTTCACGGCCATCGCCACTCGAATATTCCGGAGGGTAGATGAAAAGGCCGAACAACTTTTCGAATTCGATGACGAGCGAACGGTATGGATATGCATCACCATTGGACTGGTATACCAGACTCATATGTCTTGGAAAGATGCTTCGGAATGGTTCGAAAAGGCCCTCGCTGCGACGCTCGCGAATGATTGTAAATGGCCAAAAGACGATGGCATTGTTCGGTCTCTGGAGACCGCGTTAGACAGACGTTATTTTTCCTACCTTTCTGACGAGGGCAGACCATTCAAGACGGTATTTGGTGTATCTGGTGTTACAATTCGTCCAGGAAGACTTCACTTGGACTGATTGGGAAGCTTGGTAGGCAGGCTACCAGAGGCACATTGGTATTTCAATGCTCAGCATCTCGGCCGTTACAAGATTTCTGATGGGGAGGAAGACATAGTGATGTAACTTATAACGCATTATTTTCAAGAGATTGCTGACTAATCATATGTTGGTTAATACGCGGGGCTTCTGCTAGATGCGGAATGAAGGGCCCGCGGGAGTGTCGCTTCTCTCTGATGAATTCAATCCGCCCCACTGCTTCAATAACAAATAGAGGCAGCCATGCAGGTGCATCAGAGACGCGACTGCCTACTAAGGTATCATCATAGGAAAATGAATGACCCCGATGGTCCCTAATGTCGAAGAACTTTCAGTCTGATGTTGTGGCTGAAGGGATCTGTCTGGTTGGCCAAACCGGCTTTCGCTCGGGTTTCAGTCGGAATTGACGGTGCGAGA